TTAGTAGCGGCTGGGTTTAATCAAATAAAAAATAAGGATTATACCGAATCATATTCACCAGTTAACATTGAATGTTTTAGATTATTGCTTGCACTTTCAGCTAAATTAAACTTCACTGTTAAATTTTATGATGTAAAAACAGCATACTTGTACAGTGACTTAAACGAGGATGTGTATATGACTCCTCCACCTGGTTATGAAAAACTGATTGGAGAAGGTAAAGTATGTAAATTAAAGAAAAGTATTTATGGGTTGCCTCAATCGGGTAGAAATTGGTTTATGAAAATAAAAACTGAATTAGAAAAACTTGGACTGTTACAGTTGGCATCTGATAATTGTATATTCATTTATAATGATACCAAAAACATTTTTATATTGTGTTTGTATGTTGATGATTTAGCTGTATTCTGTAATAATAAAGAAATGCTTGAAAATATTGTTTCTAAAATTAAAAATGTATTTAAGTTACATGAAAATACTAATTCAAAATTTTTGGGAATGCAAATAGAAAAACTTGAAAATGGTATATGTTTGTCTCAAACAGAATATATTGAATCTTTATTGTTATTGACTAAACACAATCTGGAAAATTGTAAAGCAGTAGAAACGCTAATCATTAAAGGGACAGATAAAGGTTTTTCATGTACAAATGAAAAAATTGATGCAATTTTGTATCAGGAATTAATTGGGGAACTTTTATATTTAGTGAATAGAATGCGTCCTGATTTATCATTTGTAACAACTTATTTGTCACAATTTAATCATGTACAAAAAAGAAAAAAAAGGGGGGGCAAGGGTATTAAGGTATTTAAAAATGTAAAAAAAAAAAAAAAAAAAAAAAAAAAAAAAAAAAACTTTTCTATAGCAATGATTTTGGAATTTTAAATGCATATGCTGATGCTAGCTGGGGAAATGCAGAAAATGTTGTCATTTTCTGGTGGTATTATTTTACTAGGTGATTCATTGATTTCTTGGAAATGTGGTAAGCAAAGAAGTGTTAGTCTGTCTACTTGTGAAGCAGAATAAATTTCTATTTCTGAAATTTGTAAGGATATTATTTGGACTGTAAATTTATTATCAGAATTAAAATGTAAACAATTTTTGAATGGTGCAGTGGTCTTGAATACAGACAGTCAAGCTGCCATCCAGTGGATCAACTCTGCCAGATCTTCTACGAAATCCAGACACATGAACTTACATTTCCATTTTATGAAGGACTTAACAGAGGACACTGTCATTAAGTTGGAATATTCACAAACTGATAATATGATTGCAGATTTTCTTGACTGTCAGTGAAGAAAAATTAATGTATACATTGAAAATAATTTCCTTAATTTCTTAATTTAATGTGTTATATATTGTTTGTATTTCATTTTTGTATTGAAAAAATGTTGCTCGCAGGAGGGGTGTGTTGGGTAGAGGCAAGCGAACTTTTTTTCTTATGTGCATGCGTATTAATTATGATGGCGCAGCTGTCTCTTCTCTCGACACATCTGTCATTCGAGCATATGGAGATGGTGAGATGTTATTTGCTGTGTGATGGTCAATATGATTTCCTGTGTGATCCTTTTATTCATTATTCATGTAAATAAAGTGTGTTGTCCTACGATGGCTTCTTTACTCTAAATATTGGCCCCTGAATAACAATTATTATAAATGTAACTTTAATCTACTTAATAAATGTAAATCTGAGAATGTAGTTATTAAAGAATATGAATTGCCATTAAAGTTGAATTATTTGTGGATGAAGCACATTTAGTTATTTAATCCAGGAGACATGCAAGAAGTATCAAGATCAACTAACAGCACATGCAGCAAATAGATAGGTAAGCAATTTTGAATTATTTTTCTTATTGTTGAAGATTTTTTGTCATACAGAAGAGCTTACCCGATCATTAATTAGACTCTGTTTCAGTCATAAGAAAATGTATGGATCACAATCACAAAAATGAATAAAAAGTAATTAAATAGATTAAATTTAAATGATTTTACTTATCACTAATTTGTCACTCCTCTAATTTTAAACAACTTCCTTATCAGATATATCATTAAATATATATTGATAACAATTTTCTAATCACAAGTAAAGATAAAAATATATATATATATAAAATATACCAACATTAGAAGTTTGACAAAATACAAACAGAAATAGCTAAGAAGAGCTAGTAGCCTCACCCATACTACACACTTTAATCAAATTATAAAATTTTGTTTAATGATTTGTTCTAATTCAATGACTGCAGCATGGTTATAAAATTTTTACATTATATGGCAAAACACAAAAGTGAACTCCAGAATACCTTGCCTGAATGTTCATTTACCTTTCACATCTGCCTTTTATTCTTTAGAATTAGAAATAGTTAACCATTCATCATAAATCAAGCATTTTAATTCTAACAAGCAGACTTTGAAACTATAAAATGAAGAGAAAGTTCTTCCCTCTCATACTATTTGATTGTAATGAAAGTTTTCCACCAAAAAAAGTTCTTACTAAAGTTGGGGGGGCATGAAAGCAGTACCTTTAGTGCAGGTAGTAATCACCACACCACCCAAATCTACGATTTTCTGCCAATGTTTTAATATATTTTCAAAGCCTTCGGCCTAGAAACTTGGTAGCAGCGAGTCCAAAAACAGATCATCATTTTGAACGTCCTGTGCAGAATGGAAGATAGCACCAGCAAGATGTAGCTGCAAGTGTGAGAAAAGGTAGAAGTCTGAAGGAGCAATGTCGGGGCTACATGGTGAATGTGGCAAAAGGTACCATTTGAGTCCGTACAGAATCCAGCTGTGAGGGTACATATCTGATTTTGCATTATCTTGATGGAACATTACCTTTTTGCGCCGGAACTCGGTTCAATGCTTTTCCTAGATAGCAGCATCAACACGGACCAGCATCTTACTGTGAGAGTTTTATGTTTTTCCAGATACTCTTTGTGGATAAAATAATGGCAATCTCACCCCATACAAAGCATGATATTTTTTCCTGCACTTTGCGATGCTGCCAACTGGCTAACTGGCTGCAGGCTAACCCCTTTTTGACCTGTGTTGTTAAAGAAAATTCACTTTTCATTACATCAGTCAGCTCATGTGGTACCCAGCACCTGAACTTGTAAGTCAAGTTTATGAGATGCACAGTGCAATTAATGCGCATGGCACTAACATCTAACTCATTAGAAAGCTCTTGAGTGGTTGACTACTGATCTTCCACAAGTTCTTGCAGTTCATGTTCCTCATCAACATCAGTAGGCTGGCCAGAGTGCTCTGCTTCTTGAATGTCATGAATCTTGTTTTTGAACTTTCAGTACCAAACCTTCACAGTGTTGTCATATGATACAACATTAGTACCTAAAGTTATACACATGATTTGGTGACATTCTGTAGCTGACGTTTTGCAACAGAATTGGAAGTAAATGATGGTTCTAATCTGGTAGCATGATAGTTCCATTTCACATACCTTGCACTTAATGATAACGACATTTTGTTACAAATTTCACAACACAGTGTTTTAAAGCGAGTCTCTTTCTTTCAAATGCTAAAAAATCATTTGACATAATATGACTAAACATGGCAACATAAACTGTTTGCGCAGATGATATTTGTGGTGGTGGGAAACTTTTGTTAAAACCCGATATTTATTTTAATTAGTATTTTTATATTTGAGACTTCAATTTCTCCCTACTTCTTATTTCAGATCCACTAAAAAATATTTTATCATTTAATTAAACTAGTAAATTAACAGTAACTCTGTAATAGAAACTAAAAGAAAAAGTAAGAGAATATTGATATTATACTGTTGGCCATTAAAACTGCAACACCATGAAGCAAAGCAAATACAAAAAAGATATTTATTGCATGTAAAACAGTATGGCATGAAGACAAAATGACTAGATTTGTTAGCATTTTGGAGGTTTACAGGGGTGGGAAATTAGTAGAACAGCTACCACCCCTGGCAGCTAAAACGGCCCTTAGCCCATTAGGCATGGAGACAAACTGGGCTTGGATGACAGAAATGGGCAACTCATTCTACGCTGCTTCAAGTTATGCCACACTTCATCAACCGTATAAGCTGGAGAGGGGTGGAGGGCCAGTCTCTCAGCAACTTATGAGCAGATGTTTTCAATGGGTGACAGATCTGGAGATCGTGCAGGCCAGGACAGCAGTCGAATACCCTGTGTATTGAGGAAGGTAAGAACATGACGTGCAACATGTGGTCTTGCATTATTTTGTTGGAACATGGCATTTGGGGGCCTAGAAGATAGGGCATAACCACTCGACGCAAGATGCCAGGAATGTACTCATCTGCATTCAAATTACGGTCGATCTGAACTAGAGATGTCGTTATATGTACACAATGGCCATCTAAACCATCACACCAGGTGCAGGGTCCCTATGCTGATATCAAATGCAAGCAGGCAACGTGCGGTCTCCTTGAAAACTCCAGACACATACCCGGCCATCAGAATACTGCACCTCAAACCAGGACTTGTTTGAAAGGTGACATTGTGCCACTCCTGTATCCAGCTTTGCTGTTCGTCGAGTTGCCATCTCTTTCTACTCTGCATTGTCAAGGGAAGCCGAAGTAATGGTTACCCTCCTGATGGTCCACGCTGCCGCAAACGTCGATGCACCTTACGAGTTGATACTGGGCGTGCATTTTCGAAAGCAACGATACTGCCTTTATCAAATTTCAAAACTTGCTGGTAAGTATTTCTCCTTCTTATTCAAGGCATAACATGATATTCTGAGCAAACTTCAACCTTACAAAGCATTTTCTGAATGAGAAATCCACTACACAACTTTCTTTTATGCAGAGCTTTAGATGTCATTTCTTTCTCCTGCATTGTCTAAATGCACTGAAATACTAATCATTTGTATATCCCAACTTCTTCTTCCTTTCATGTGATTTTGACTTTTGTCAGATCATTACTTCCTGGTGTTGCAATTTTTATGGTATTTTGTATTTCAAATACTTAAATAATAAAAGTAACCTGACTTACTCATAATCCACTGGAATCAAAATACTCTGCTTATTAGATAAAGGGATGAGACGTCCTAATTTGTTTACAGTTAAAGACCCTATAATAAAAAAAAAAAGGAAAAAACATCTAATTTTTTGAATAAATAAGAATCAATATACAATTTAACGTCTTGTCATGTTTACAGGGTTGCCATTCAAACAGGAGAATGAAATTCCCCAACTTTAGGGTATGTTTCGAGAAAATTCCAGTCTATCCGCGTAATGTACGCTGGCTGTGCTAAGAGGTAAATTAATTATGGTATTACTTGTACTGTGTAGCAAATTCACTTTGTTTGATAATTTTGTTTACTTTTCCGCTTAAAAAACTTAATAAAATTTAAGATATATACATTGGATAACAACTGTACGTTTTATTTAATTATTGCTAATGATCATCCCCAGTTCAACACGAGGCTAATCCGATTCTTATAAATCACAACGCAATGCTAAAAGTTAGGTTAGATTTTAGGTAAATTTAATTTGTGTGAGGTGTATTCTTAAAAGGCACCTTAACACTTGAAAACACAAATATAATTATAATAGGAGTTGTTTTCTCCACTGAAGATTGAGATTAGAATCTGCCCAATCTGGAATAAAATAAGGCTTTTTTTTTGCAGACATTCTGCAGCTAAACGAAAGAAAGAAATCTATTTAATGATATTTTTTTACTAAATTGATGAGGTATTTTTATATTTATTTCGCAGCATACTAAAGGAAAAAAAAATATGTGCATTAAATTTCGTGATGTCATCATACTGCTAGAATTAATTTCAGAATTATGCCAGAGAAAATTTCCTGAAATTTGGAAATATTATTTACTAATGATAAATAAATTTAGAGGGAAGAAGAAGCAACATTAAATGATATGAATAACATAAAAATAAAGATAATTACTTAATTTAATTAGAATAATCAAAGATATTTTAGCGAATATAGTTATATTACATGGTTATCCTAGATGATTGATTACTATTTTTTTATTTTACTGCAAAATGACAAGGTATTTATTAAAAAGAAAAGGAAAAAAAAAAAAAAAAAAAAGATTTTGCGGTAAAATCTTAGTATACGATACGGCCTTCGCATGATTTTGAAAATTGTCGCCATGAACAAAATGACCAGTTTACTGCTCATCATCATGTCGTCAAATCCCACTGTACCATACATGGAGATTATTCTCACCAAAGAAAGAACGTCTATGTAAAAAGCGAAGGGAAAATTTGCCAAGGGATTTGACGACGGAACGGCCAGAATTTCCCTCTCTGCGATGTGTACAGGAAATTGAGAAACACATGTTAAGAAGAAACGTTCTTTGACAAAAAAGAAAACTACCAAAATCCGTTTTTAAATTATTGCGCAAAATCCAAGAAGAAACGTTTTATCAAAGAATGTTTTTTCTTGGATTTTTCGCAATAATTTTAAAAACGGATTTTCGTAGATATCCCCCCTCAAAATATCTAATCCATGAATTAATTTACTTGCGCCAAAAAATATTTTCTTTTCCTTTAGAGTTTAAAGACATTTTAAACGATATTCATTTTATGAACTCTTGATAACGTGACCTTCGAACTTCGACACCGGTTTCGAGCTTTGGCGACAGATACATCGCGCATGCACAGCTGTTTCCCGCTACGATGGAACCGAGCCGTGTCTGTTGCAGAGAGGTTTTCCTTCTTTATAATACATATTTTTTTAATTCTAACCTTCATGGTACCGTATACTAGGATTAAACCCATTTTGTTTTAATACGAGAACAGGTACTTTCTTTAGTTCATGCACTGCACATGCGATTCTGAGGTTACTGGAAACCAAAAGTTGCGGGAAATTTGCTTTGCCTTTCTAAAAAAAAAGACAATCAAATTGGAGCTGCGAAAATTGGCTCTATGCCAGCTGCCCGAATGACACTCACGTGATACACAATTCGCCAAAAAAGTGATCTCTTCCGACGTCGGCTCAAAACTCGCCTTTTTTGGCGGGATCATTGTATGAAATTCCCTGACTTTTCCAGATTTTGACTAAAACACTTAAATTCCCTGACTTTTTTGGTCAGTTTCCGAATTCCCTGACTTTTTCCGGTTTTCCAGGTAGCGTGGCACCCTGTGTTTAATGCCCTTTAAATACTCCTAACAATTAAATATGAGCAAAAAACGTGTCTAAGAATTTGGCATCATTGAATAACAGCATCTGAAAAAATTATTGTTACTTATTTTGACATAAAATACATATACAGAATGTTTTAATTCAGTAAAAAAAAAAAAAAAAATTTCAGTTCTGTGATAATATGCTGAAAAAAATAATGCAAATATAATTCACATAGAAATTAAAGAGCAACAATTTCTTTCAATATATTGCTCATTTTAAAAATTGTTTAATTATAACATTTATATACTGTTAAAAAAGTCGGTAAATTTTTTTGTTGATATTTTTTAATCTGACAATGAATACCAAACCTACAATCCCCCTCCTTTTTTCTTCCTTTTTTTTATTTATTTATTTTTTAAAGATACTTGAAAAGCATTTTCAGAAAAATACAGTAGGGCTTTCATAAGTCAAAAACAAAGGTAGAATAAAAGCATTCCGAGTAAAAATTGAAATAATTCTGAGTAAGAACTTTTTATATGCTCATAACAGCAAGCATGCAATTGCTTCCAATAATGACTAAAGACTCTGAGAAAGAAACACATACCTTTAATCAAGAATAACTTTCTAAATTTGCCAAGACACATTAACAATTTTCAATACATTTCATTTGGAACAAGGTAACAATCAGATCAAATTATCCATATTTTTAAAAATAATAATAATAATAATAAAACTAAACTTACCGATGACAATGTGTAAAGTATCCATGTCCATTGGTGTTTCCCAATTCTTTTTTACCCATTTTGGAGCAATAGTATTTTGATTAATAAAGATCTTCTCCTTGATTGGAAAATCATCCTCATTTACTATCTACAGAAAAAGTAAAACATTTCACCATTTATAACATTACATAAATAAAATATTTTGATACTTATAAACACTATATTGAACTGTCATTTTCTTTAATCTAAATATTTGAAAAATAGAACATGAATAATATAAAGAAAAATATGAAAATTATAAGAGTTTCCATTACGTAAAAGTTCCATTAACTGTATGATGTGTACAGAGACACTCAATGCTCACAAATTTGAAAAAGCCAGAACTCTTGAATCTAGCATACAAAAGCTCTTAGCGGTACAGGATTCCGCTCACATGTCATGGCCTCAATTTCTATTTCTGAAGCCAGTGTGGCATCTTGCACTGCAGTTCTGACTTGCCCCAATGATGTCACCATGAGTAAGCCTCTGTTAAAAATACTGAAAGTGTCAAACAGTGGCGAGCAATAAATCACCAACGACTCCTCAGACACCACAATTAAAACTGTCATATTTATGTATCAGGACATGCCAAAATGGAACTTAAAATTAGTAAAGAAACTTGTATTTGGCATATATTTACACACACACACACACACACACAAAAAAAAAGAGAGAGAGAGAGAAGAAGAAGAAAACAAAGAAAGGTTTCAGATTTTAAATTAAATCCAAAGAAGTGTCTTTTTAACGTTTTGTGTGTTAACTTTATTTATTAAATATGTTCTACATACTCAAACTATAAAATTCAGCTCAACAGCAATATTGCATGTTAATTTTAAAATGAGCATATCTTTAAAATTTCTGATGCACAATCTCGCATGCTGGAGATAATTTTTTTTTTCCTTCTAGAGTGTTGCCATTGCTTGCTTTGAAATCGTTTAATTTTTTATTCAAAAATTTGTTGAAGTGTTACAAAATCTGAAATTTTGATTGCTCTATCCACATAGCACAAAAACATCCTTGGGATATCCCAAGGATGTTGCTCGCGGGATATGCGCACATCCTTAGGACATCCCGGAATATCCCGCGGACCTCCTAAACACCTCCTCCCGAGTGCTTAATGTCACATCCCGGGATATCCTCAGGACATCCTAACCAAGTCCCATCGACAGCGTGCGGGATGTTATTAGGATATGAACTCCTACTTACTACATCCTCAGGACATCCCACAAACCTCCTAAGCACATCCCATTATATCCTAAAAACATCCTATCTATGTCCCATCGACAGCATATGGGATGTTATTAGGATTTAAAGTCCTACTTACTACATCCTCAGGACATCCCGTAATATCCCAATTTCCTCCTAAACTCATCCTCCTGAGCGCTTAATGTCACATCCCAGTATATCCTTAGGACATCCTATCTACGTCCCACCGACAGCGTATGGGATGTTATCAGGATTTGAAACACTAGTTACAATATCCCTTTAACCTCTTAAATACATACTCTCAACTGCTTAGTGTCACATCCCAGTATATATACAGAGGAAAATTCCAGTGAAAGTATGTGAAGGTGTGATGATCTAAAACCTACTTTTTTTTACACAGATAGTCTCAAATCGTTCTCCTATGGTTACTATGGAAAAATCAGAAATGTTGAAAATATTTATACAACTTATTTTGTTTTTAAATCTGAATTTGTGAATATATTAAAACTGAGCAAGGAAATTAAAATGAATTATTAATACAAAATATTAAAACTGAAAATTTTGCTTTTATTTTTAAGATATTAAAAATCTTTTGATCATTTTTAAACATCCAATAGCCCCCAAATTGAATTATTCATAATTAAATTATTTTACAAAATCAGTTTCTAATTTCAGTTAATTTGTATTAAAAATTGAATAATAAAATTACCCATTTAATAATCTTTACATAAATGAATCATCTTTCTTTAAAACATGTAAGGAATTTATAGTGTTTTGATGACACTGTTGGGAAATTGTTAAAAGGAATAAATTGTATTTTTTAAAACTAAATCAATTCCTAGCCTCAGAATAAATAAATATGTTTTCGTAACATGAGAATGCTGCAGGCTTTTTTATATATTTAATATTTAGTTGTAAAAATTTGACATTATGTTAACAATTCTTTATATCATTCAAAAGGTAACTCAAGAAGCTCTTCTAAAATTCTATCTTTCTGCTCACACAATTAAAAAAAAAAAATCTGAAAGGCCTCAGATTTTAGCAGTCACTCAAAGAGGCTAAAAGTTTATGAATGCATAGATTATCAATACAGATGGGGCAGTGGAAATAGCAAAACATTTTATAAGATACTGACACCAGAAAGTTATATATCTTCTATATATTTGAAAAATGAAGAAATATATCATGTAATTATGTAGAAATATTAAAATGTTTTCAATTAGATATATCATGAATTAAATGCATTTTAAATCAATCAGATTAAAAATTAAAAAAAGCATTGTTAAGAACTGTGTGTAATGCTTTTAAATAGCTTGGCTTGTTAGTCAATAATATATTAGATTTTAAAGGTAAATATGTTAAATTTTGCCAAATGGCAAGACTTGAATGAAAAGCGAAACAAGTTTACGACTGACGATATGAAGTCACATTTCAAAACTAATAGCCCTTTTAGATTAAAAAAAAAAAGTTCTGAAAATAATTTGCAATGGTTCATTGGTATTATTTTACGCAAAATTCAGTAAAATGAAATTTACCCGTTGAAATCAGCACCAAATTAAACTTTGTAAATTCTAGCGCATGTTAAAGGTTGTCTCATCCAGAATTTTATTACTAACCATTCATTTCAGAGCAAAATAAAACAGTAATTGCCATTTATATGACAATCAATATCAAAAATTTAAATCTGCATTTTACGCAACATAGAAAAACTTCAAAAGATCTACTGTTTACCATGCAATTAAGGCATTTTATTCTGCTATCAACTCTACCAATTATTAATTCCATTAAGTATATTCAGTTTACTCTTTCTGCTCAATATATGCAATGTAAAATTTTCCATAAATTTATTAATTCATTTTATTTTGAGGTGAGCTTTTATTCAACTCTCAATGTCAACGAGAATGTTTAGTTCATTTTTTATTCAGTCTCAAAAGAGAAATCAAAATATGTGTATTTATGAATCAAAATACATGAGAAATCACAGTGAGAAAAGCACTGCTACCTTAAACTGTGATTATATATAACAAATGCAGTGAATTATAGTTAAAAAATAGTGAAAATATTTATATTTATATATAACATTTTCAGTTTTGCATATGTGGCAATTTAAGAACTTTACATATACCAATTTTTTGAAATATCTGCAAATTTTTGTATTTTCAAGGAAAGCTTATTCTTTCACCTTTAGTATATAAGTAATAGTAATTTACCAGATAAAATTACTTAATGGGGAATACAGAAAAATATCTAACCACTTACCTTTGTGACTTCATCTGCAAAGAGACTAAAAAAGTAGTTCAGCTAAATCTGCTATAATAAATATTTATAATAATGCTAAATTATGCAATATCTATTAATATGACAAATTTTTGTAAAGCTATTTATTTGGATGAAAAATAAACACATTCAGAAATTTATGGCACTATATTATGATTAACAGAGGAAAAAACACTTTTCAAAATTCAAAATAGTTTTTATTAATCCAATTTATCACATTTTATTTGAATTCATGAAAAACAATCTTATATCCATGTATTCTTATGTATATAAGAACTCTTGATAAATTGGATCTCTGTCATTGCCTTTCACAGCACCTAAAATAAAAAAACACTCACAATTACTATATGTGAATATAATTCATAATTAAATTTAAACAAATGACTATTAGAATGCAAATTAAAGGAAGCATTTAAAATATTTTAACATTTAGTACCTATAAACAGAGTAGCAATTATTTGATTTTTTCGATTATAGTAAAATAAACATGGGGGATGCCTTTTAAAATTTTTTATGTCAGAAAATAAACTCAAACCACCAGCTGAACATATGAGCAGTTTTATCAATCAGCCACTGGTAGGTAACCTGGATACTGAATCAACATATAAAGTTGCCAAGATAAAGAGAGAAACAAAATTATGATAATCACATCTTACCTATTCATAAAACTATTTTAAATTTAATGTGTAGGCAAGTCCAAAAAGAGTGAGAATGAATTTATTTTGCAACACAAAGTAAAGTCTTGCAGGAGCAAAAAAAAAACTTGTCTCATGAGATTGGCAAGTAAAAAATAATTAACTGCATCTGGTAACATTTATCTGACAACTCATAAGTAATTGTTAGCTACGTGCAGAAAATAAAATCTGATCATGTTAATGCAATTTTAAACTTTTGAATTTAACCGCAGAAATTTACCAAAGAAGTACTTGTAACAGTAGTAAATGAAGATGTGGCTAATCTTTACTGTATGGTACACTTTGGTTTCTGTCTGAAAAAAAATCGCAAAGTGGTATTGGTTGTTTGTGAAATGTGGAAGCCCGTTGCGTCAAATAAGTTTTTCGGTAACCCTAATGTTGATAATGTTGGTAAAAGTAGCCTTTGGGGGGGAAAAAAAAAAACTTTTTTTTTGTCAATAAAAAGGAGTTATTTCTGCAAATATTGCCAACGTGTTGTGATAAATTTAGTTTTGGGCTACTTTTTTTAATAGTAAACCTTTTGTACGGTCCCAGGTTTTTGGTTCTTACCATTCTTTTCAATTGCTGTGTTTGGTTGCACGGAAGTGGTATGGTCTTGTATTTTGAACATGCTATTTATTATTTTGGTGTGGGTACCATCGTTTGAGTATGTCTGAGGTGACTAAGAGACGAAAAATTTAATTGAATTGCTTACCTGGAGGATGGTGGTGGGAAGCCTAAACATATGCATGTGAAAAAAAAGGTATGTTAAAAAAATGACGTTTCATTTATTTTTTTGTCTCTGTGTGTTAATTTTTGTTAGAAGATTTGTTGTTTAATGTTTTTATGTTAGGAAATATGTATTTTTGGTAACTTATTCCTCTCTGTTTGTGTATTTTTGGTTGTCTGTGTGTTAAGACAGTGGCGAATTTTTTCTGGTAACTATGATATT